CACTAATTTTCTAATCTCTAACAACAAATTGTAGAAAAATTTCCTAAATCATCTAATTCAAAAATACTATAAAAACCTAAAAACTAAAAACAGTAGGGGAGAAAAAATTGGAAAGAAAATTTACAGAGGGGAAAATTTTACGAAGAAGAAAAACAGAGAGGGTTTGTTTCTGCCACTGAGTCCGCCGCTCCAGCTTAGGATTTCAATATCTGAAACCCTAGCTCTCCTTGAAGCACCACTGCTACATCATCCTTATCACCGCCACACCTGCAAAGGGAAGGAGGAAGGGATTAACGAAGAGAGATTGGAACTCATACAAAAGTAAACATGACGAGGTAACTGCTTAACTTTAAAGTTTTTTCTGTTTTTGTGTTTATTTGAGAGTTTGTGGGTTTTGATGTTGTCGTCGTGGCCTTCGATAAGAACGGTCGGTTGGGGTTAGCTCCATCGCAAATTAGGTTTCGGTGGTGTTTGGGTGTTGTTAAAGAGAGAATAGAGGAGACATGTTGTTAGAGAGAAGAGAGAAAACAGGTTTGAGAGAGAAAAGAAGATAACAAATGTTTTGTAAAAATGAAAGATATAATGTTATGTAATCCAGTGTGCTTCATCTTACTGTGCGCTGTTAAAAATCACCATTTGATCACCACCAAACGTACATAGATGCGCACCCAGCATAATACCATGTGCCTCCCCATACCTGAGCCAAACGAATCAGTCCTAAACTCTTTGGGCCAGGCCTGCCACCATTCGCATCTCCTCCTGTTTTATTTTACTAATCAGCATAAAACTTCACCCCCGACCTAATGGGCCATGTCAAATATTTGGGCTTGGACCCCTAATCCCCACACCCTCCATTTTACTGCATAGTTCAAAAATACACCCCCTGTCTTTTGGGCCTAAATTCAATATCTGAATTCAGGGCCCTACTATATACACCTCCCATTTTTACTAGCCTAACCTAATTTACACCCCATGCGTTTTCTAATTTATTTCTTTTATTTATTACTTATTAATTGTAATTTTTAATTTTTTATATTTTAATATATCATTTTATTACTATCATAAAATCAAATTTATTTTCTAAATTCATCCAAAATATTATTTATTTTATTGTATTAAATTATTTTTAATCATGCATTTAATAAGATATTTTTTACAATTAACACACTAAAAAATATTTAACCAACAACAAACTGTTTTCATAATAAAATTAAATTCCATAAACAATTTTCAAAAAGGATTATGAATATATTTAAATCGACTGCGCACTTTGTCTAATATCTCCGCTATTCACACACCTAGACTAAGTATGCGGGAAATTCAAATATCTTCGTAATCCATAAAAAACACCAACCAACCACGAACTACGAATTGAGACTTTGATTCCTCATAAGAGGATACATAGACATACGACTAAAATTATGGCGAGTTCCCCTAATAAAAATTAAAACCCTATTTTCTTAAAGATTGTGCTTTTAACCCTAATATCCTTGTGAACAAGGTAGACGAGGGGTGCCTAAAGCATTCCCTTCTTCTATAAACGAGTCCAACAATCTATAATCTCTAATTTTTAGGGTTAACCTTTATATTCCCTTCCTTAAGATAAAAATTAAGGGTGGCGACTCTCAAATTAAAACCAGTTACAACATGTGCCCTTAAAGATTGATAGGTTGTTTCGCTGAAACTTTTCCAAAGCACGAAACTGATCATTCCCTCAAACATTCTGGGGAATCTGCCAATTCTAGGCCATTTCCTGAGCCAATGACTCTAGGGCCTCAACAATTGCATCATCATTTCTTCCTTCAGTCGTTTCTCTATGCGTATAGGCAAACATCATTAGAAGAATGGAACATTATTGTGTTTACACACAAAATGACCAGCAAGACATAAACATCGTATAAAAACCTGGCCGGATAGATCGTCCTGCTCTGATACCACTAATGTAACACTCTTCTAACCCCACATGTATTTCTCATATAATTTAAGGAATAATTCAAGTAAAATCACCACTTAAGGGTGTCACACTTTGTAGAAAACATCGTAATAACAATCCTGCTTCGTAACACGGGTTACATCAATAGTAAATACACCTTTTTATACTTTAAACCATCCATTCAACAACATCGCCAAGGATTTATCGTCATGAATAATTTTATTTATAAAACAAAACTCATAATGTTTTAGTCTCATCAAAAGTTTGAATAACAATCAGTTTAACAATCAAAACCGTCATAAAGTGTATCATCATAAAAAGGAACATATTCGTAAAACAAAACGTTCCCAACCCAATATTACATATCAGAGCAAGACACCACTAATATAATGAAAACTAATAAAATACTCCCAAATATCTATCTTCAATACTTCTATCAACTACTCTTAAGCATCTGCGCATTACCCACGTGAAGGCAACATTCAAACAGAAAGGGTGAGTAATCACAATTTATTATGGAAGATATAGGGAAAAGATTAGTAGTTATAAATGATATCACTATATGACAACACATATCATTCATCAATATTTTATACTCACTGATACATCATAATAGCACTTAGGCATCTTTCATCATCAAATCATCCCATACTCACATAGTTCACAATTATCATCACATTACAACTCAACAGTAAAAATTCATACAATGTCCCAAAGGATGTTAACACAACAATATTGACTCAATGCATGTGGTAACAAATTTTTATGAACACATGGTTCATCATCCTCCATGATCCCCACCATAGAATCAGTTTCCTCTTAGAACTGGAGCACATCACAAACGTACTCAATCCGCACAATGGGATTGAGGCTCATCACAAGTGGACCACCGTCCAAAAATACTATGAATGCATGATGCACAACAACGTCACATAAAGTTCGACCACAGCTAGTCAATTACATTATCATTCACATAATCATCTTCACATAATATATATACATATTTAACATGAACATCATTAAACTTCAATCGTCACAATATCATCAAATACCAACACCATGATAACATCATCAGAATACATCAAGTTACGTTATTTCAACAAGACATCGCAGCATACTAACATATAATAATCCAAACTCATGAATATATAAACACAAATAATACCCCAAATACTTCATACAATTCTTCCATAAAATAGTTTTGTGTGTTATCTTCTCAATACTTCGAACGACGCGTCAAACAGAGTCCTAAAACTCAAGTTACGATACTTTGAAGTTTTACTGCCAGACTGCTCTCCTAAGCCTCGCCCGACGACCTTGGGAGCGTTCTGCTCGCCTCCCTTTCGCCTGATGCTCGCTCAACGAACTCCACAATTGGGTCCATCGCTGCTTCGCTCTCCCGACGAAGCTCTGGCGACGAATCCCCCCCATACATTTTTCATGAGCCCTATTTTTCACCATTCTGCTCGCCGCTTGACTCGCCCGACAATACTTGGGCGACTAGCTCGCTCTTTGCACACCTAACGCTCACTCGACAACACATGTAATTTCTGCAACTTTTTAGTTGCGTTTTGTTGCTGTGTCAACCCCATTCAAAATCCAATTTTGGACACCAATCCATCCAAAAACGTATTTTTAATCACAATATTTCACAATTGACAACAACACATCGTTTTACACATATTCAACTGTATCATGGCATATCAACATCATCCTCACACAATTTCATCATAGTATTCACCATGCTTTCCACCAAATCATCATACAAACAAAATCCTACATCTACCTTAACCGATATGAGTCATAATAAACTGAGATTACACCCTTTACATCAAATTCCTAGCGATTTGATTTTCTTCCTTCATGTATACGGGGTTCTCCTCTTGGTTCTCTGTAAGCTCTAGCCTATATTCACGTTATCCAAAATTCCACGATCGTACATAATGCATCATATCTCTCTTATTTTCTCTTTTTATTTGTTACTCAGTATAATTTAATGTCAGAACATGATTAATAATATGTATTTTATTGGTTAATGAATTATAAATAAAATAATTGATTAATGACATACCCTTTATGTTTAATATGATTGTGAAATTAGTTAATGACATAACCTTATATTTGTATTATAAAATAAATTTAAAATTTTATTATTATTTTTAAAAAATATATTATTTTATTAAAAAACACTACTCACATTTATACTATGAACAATGTATGATGTAAGTATTTGGTGTCATCATAGCAATCATCTTATAAAATATATTACTTGCACCAAATCATCATGATTATATGAATGATAATATTTAATCATTAGTTTATATCTTTCCCACGCGCCACAGAGAGACTTAGTCTAGACTTAATTTTTCATTGTTCAAATCATATAATGTCATTCATTATTTTAACACATTTTTGGTTCGAGTTAAATCTCTCAAAAATTGATTTTAGTTAAAATTAAAATTTATAATTTCTACTTTCAAAATTGATTCAAAGTAATTTTTACATTGTAATTTATTATTTAACTTATTTTTAAATAAATATATCAAAATAAAAATCAATTATATTAAACACACTTTTATTAAAATCAATTATACCAAACTTAATTATATTAAAATTAATTTTCTGCACCGTTAATTCAAACACACCCATAATCTACCTAATGCTTTATTTATACTATCAAAAATATTTTATTTTACTTTTAAAATTAACTTTTTTTGTGACAAAAACTATAAAGTTTGAGAGGAATAAATAATAAGACGAGGGGTGCCAGGATCATCTCTATGCGGTACATTATATTCCTCGCAAAGGGCTCAGTATTCTATTATCCAAGTATAAACAAAATGAAATGAAGTGCAATCTCCACCGTCAGTTAAAGCCATCTGAATCAACGAAATATAAAACAGCACGTCAGTGATCCGCGTGAGGCCATTCCTTCCAATCGGAACTCCTTTATTAACGCTATATATAATTTTTCACTTTCATTATATTTTCATCACTCGTTCTCTTCAATACATCAATCACCTCCCTCTCTCGTTTTTCCCAACAAACCAATCAAACATCATCATCAATGGCTCCAACGAAGGCAGAGAAGAAGCCAGCTGAGAAGAAACCTGTAGCAGAGAAATCCCCTGCCGAGAAGAAGCCCAAGACCGAGAAGAAGATCTCGAAGGAGGGAGGAAGCGACAAGAAGAAGAAGAAGGCGAAGAAGAGCGTTGAGACGTACAAGATCTACATCTTCAAGGTTTTGAAGCAGGTTCATCCTGATATTGGTGTCTCCAGCAAGGCTATGGGAATCATGAACAGTTTCATCAACGACATCTTCGAGAAACTCGCTCAAGAGTCCTCCCGTCTGGCTAGGTATAACAAGAAGCCGACTATTACTTCTCGGGAGATTCAAACCGCTGTTAGATTGGTTCTTCCTGGTGAATTGGCCAAACACGCCGTTTCTGAGGGAACAAAGGCCGTTACCAAATTCACCAGTTCTTGAATTATCGGCGCTATTTGTTTCTCTAGGGTTTATTTTAGTTACCAATTAGTTTAATTAGGGTTTTCTTTTATCAATTTTGTTGAAAAAATACAATGAATTAATAAACTTAATATCTGCATCTGTATTTATTTACTGCGTGCGTACTAGTTTCTTTTTTATATTTGCTTGTTAAATAGATTATTTGTCTCATGTTTCCTTTAATATTTTGATACCAAATAAAGACACGGCATTGATTGTTTATGAATTTTGAAGTTAACTTGTAATTGAAGTCTCCAGTGTACCTAGCACTATCAATCTTTGAATTTGCAGATGAAACTATTAATTGATATGTATGTTTGGACGTATGCTTGGATATTACAAACACACTGTATTAGTATTTGCAACTTGCGTCCTGTTGTGGTTTTCAGCATTGGCAAATTGTGTTTCGTTGTGGTTTTTCAGCATTGACAACTTTACTTGACTTTATTAGTGTATTGTTTCTCAAGGTTCCTTGAATATTTGTAATTCATGGTTCACTAAATAATTGTTGGCCTGGTAATTGATCCCATTGATGCCTCCTAGTGTACTGAGCTCTTAATTACAACTCGAAAACCCACAATCTGTGAAATTGCATTTGAATCTATTAGTTGCCATGTATGTTTGTAAATGCTAGAATAATCATGACTGTCATGGCATTTTGTTTGTCATAGTAAGTAGTGGGTTAATGGGTGTATTTGCTCATTCATTGGTTGTGCTAGTATTGGTTATTTTGGCAGTTATACTTCAAATACAATGTATTAGTATTTGCATCTTAGTTCCTGTTGTGGTTATTAGTATTGCAAACTTTAGTTTGTGTTCTGTTAATGATTTTTTTTTTTTTTTTTTGTGATTTGTTTTCGGTAGAGAAGGTATTTAGCTTTGAATGTATGGCAACCTGCTGTTGTTTGGTGTAGGCAAAAACAGATGGTGAACCAATATATTGTGCAAGTTTAATATAGGATCCACAAGCGTGAGATGGAACTAAGGCTTGGTATGCAAAAAAATATGGGGTCGGAGAAGTCCCATGTAAGTGTTTATTTTCACATGTAACATGTTATCTATGGAGGATAAAGAATACTTGTTAGTGTGACTTATACAAAATTGTTCTTAGAGAGATGAAAAGCGTAAGCTTGATTATGGGAAAGGAAGAGTTAGTATCTATGAGGTATCATCCTCTGTGGGAGCATAAGCCTGCGAGTGGAAAGGAGAATGAACATGCTGAAGAAGTTGAAAAGATGAATCGACTGAGTTTTATGTTATTTCCTCAATTTTATTGAAAACTGATCTTTCTTGTTATTCAGTTTTGAATTTTGATGCAAAACTAGCACTATGCTGTGTTCCTTGAGTGCAGGAAAAACAATTCAAAACACCATAAATTGATGTTCATCTTGCAACAAGTGGATAGTATTGTCATTCTCTAGATGTAGGGGCAAGGATAATGGATCTTATTTGTAAGTTAGCAGTCGACCAAAGTTCTATTGCAAATTATTAGCTACCTCAAAAAATATGGGCTTTACAAATTCAAGTTCATATTAAAAGTAAGTATTCTTACTTTGCTTAGGCTTCTTTACATATTGTTCACATCTAAAAATTAATTGTAGTGTCAGCCTAAATTGTGGACATGCCACTGTGGGGTTAATTGATGCCCTTTAGCCGAGGTAAGAACCAGCGAATACAACCCAAATGTGGGCCACCAAACCTTTCTCAAATCTAGCTGTAGAAGGCGAAGATTATGACAGTGATGCAGCAAACAGCTTGTCTTATGCTGTAGCAAACCTCTTAGGCCCAACAGCATGAACTCAAAGACCAGTCGGAGACTAGCCAATTTAGCTTCCATGAGCAATTTTCAATCTATATTGGCTAATCTTACATCAAACCAGGCACAACTTAATGTATCGGTACCACCTCAGTTGAATTTGGCAACACCTCGATCAATTGTTGCTTACATTGATGAATTGCCATGGATCACAAATCCACTTTACTAATGTAACACACCATTGGTATCTGGAACTCCTACAAGAAACAATGTGGAAGTGAGCCAAGAGCATCCATGGGAAAATTTCCTACCTTAGGCTATTTCTATAACACCCCAGTTAACATGTGGCACCATTCAGTTGTAGCCTGAGACTAGACCTCCTGGACAACATGTATTGGATTCTAACCTTATGGCCGTTAAAATCAAGAGATATTTTAGGATCCAACTTAAGCCCATTGATAGGCCTATGAATAAGAAGCCCTATTTTGAGTGGGTGTATAAATCAGTGTTGATGCCTAGAGGTTACAAGGCTCATTACTTTGCTACCTTTACCGGGTGAATAAATTGGTATCTTTTTCAAAACTTAAAAAATTGAAGTCGGCTGAGAGGGGGGATAAGCAGAGGGTGAAACCGATATGGCAGGTGTAAAATTAAGTCAGTCGAATCTCTGTAGGGATATATGCAGATAATTGACTTACTTGTGTTCAACAGACTGTCCACTACGTTGGTCCCAATGCTCGGTAGTCATTGTATCTTTTTTCTAAATCTACAGGGTTCAAGGCGGTTGTGAAGGATACACAGAGGGTGAAGTTGGTAAGGCAGCCTAAAATCAAGTCAGTTAAATCCCTGCAAGAAGAAAGATAGACAAGTGAGTTATTCATGTTCAACAGGCTGTCCACTACGTTGGAGCCAATGCTTGATAGTTATAAAATTGATAAACCACCTAAGACAGGACAACTCACTTGGGTCTAGTGAAACAATATGTTTCTAATCAAAGTTCTGGGTTGTCTAGCACTAGGGATCAAGTCATGCTGCCGTTGAAAGAGACATGCAGCTGACCTTACCTAGAATTTAGGAAGGGCGTTGTCCAAAGGAAAAAGGAGGGGGTAGCCAGAACCTCCATCAGCTCTTTGTTTACTCCTGCTCTGTTTATCCCTCGTGCGAGTCTTCTTTTACCACCTTCTTTCAGAACTTCCCCATCACACTCTTATTCTCGTGTGGTTAATGATACATCCTTCCTGATTTTTTTTAATGTTTATGTTTTGTTCTTTTATGGTAATTTTGCTTGCTTTTAGTTAGTTATGTTGTGGTGTTTCTGCTGTGTTTTTACTTTATTGTGTTTGTGTATTTCTACTTTGATATTCTCCTTTTATGTTTCGTTCATTATTTGATGTAATCCTTGAAAAGGAGAAATTCTGCAATGTTTGAGATTCTCCTACATCTGTTTTTTTTTTTTGCTTCATCTGATATTCTCCTTTTATGTCTCTCTTATTACGACCATTATTTGCTGTAATACTTTGTTAGGTCATAAGTATATAGATTTGTTTCATAGTTGGTAAATGTCCAGTCCGACTTTTTTTATAAAACTCAGATGAGCGTGGTAGGCGACATTGAAACAATGTTTATCTGTGTGCATTCTTAAATGACATGTTTATACAAAGAGTAAAAGTTCAATGACAAATGGAGTTCTAGTTGATGTTTATATTAGTTCCTGTCCTTAAAGGCTCTATAGATATTAAAAATCTTATTTACTTAATGGATACTTAAAACTTTGTTGTTATTTAGCTGTCTATAAAAAAACCGAGCCTAGTATGACTGTATGAGCAAGTTTGACAAGTAGATAGTGACTTTACTGCAACAAAAAAGATAAATAAGTGAAGTGTTCCGTTCCCTTTTCAATAGCTTAAAATTTCTCTCAAACTTTAATCGAATTTTTATTATTTACTATACTATTTAAATGATCTATGACATTTTATGATGAGTACTAGTAGGACACAGTAAATTTATATGTTAAGGTGTATAATGTAGTATAAAAGAAATTTAAAATCTTTAATATTTTAAATGAAAGAAGTTGAATTAAGATTCACAAAACATAGTAGATGTGTATTGATACATTCATGTATGATATAAAAGAAAAAAATCCCGCTAACCTGTAATGTCTCAATTCTTAAAGAAAAATATAATAACAATAATAAAAAAATGTCTTTAAAATAACTTCAAAACAAAATGACACAATATCTTCAAGTTTTTGATAGACTCCTGAAAAGAATAGAAATACAAGAATAAGAATAATTTCAATATAATGATAGTGCTATTGAGATGTAAAAGATAAATTCCAAAATATTGTTGTTTTTGAAACAATAATAAATATGAGTGTACATGAACACATATACCTTAATATTTTTTAAGATTACACTTTTAATTGTTAGTGTGAAACATCATCCTTGGTAGTGTAATATTATATGAAGATTGTAGTAAAAAATAATAGGAGGGTAGTATTATAAATGACAACTATATATAATAGTAATAAATGCATAAATATGAAATAGTGGTTGAGCATGAAAGAGAATACCTATACAACATTGTGGAAAACTTCTTTGAAAATCATATTTATTGTTTCATGTAATGACAATTTGTCTTTGTCATGAGTTAAAATTTTCAAACCTGCTTTGCTTTTGACTCTTGACATTGCAACATAAAGTTGCCCATGACTGAAGACTTTTTTTGACAAATATAAACCAACATAGTCTAATAATTGACCTTGAGATTTATTTATTGTTATTGCAAATGAAACAATAATGAGGAATTGTCTTCTAATAAGTTTGAATCCAAGGGGATTGTGAAGGAGACAAAGACATTCTAGAAAAGTATATGGTGTTTCCTATATTTGTATCTGAAATTATCTTTGCCTCAATGACATGATTTGCTAGCCTTGTTACCGTCAATCTTGTACCATTACAAAGTCCTTCTGATTGATCCAAATTTCTTATCAACATAATGGTTGTGCCAATCTTCAATTTCAAGAAATGGTTAGGCAAACCAGATGTTTTTAAACAACTTAAAAACTTCGGAATCAAATTTCGAAAGCCTTATTTTCATTTGCTTCTGATCTGTCAATAGTATCACTACTCAAAAACTCCTTTTCATCACCTATAAAAAAGGTTAGAATTACAAAGTTATAATGGTAGATGAAAATAGAATGATTAAGTCATGTATAAAGTATGGTAACCTGAAAGAAGATTAGTAATGTAATCATTTATTTCATCCACAATTTCTATAGTTGAAGCTAGAATAGCTCTACTTTGGAGAAAATCCAGATTTGTGAAATTTTCAAGTAGGTTTGGATAAGTACTTGTAACAATTTTCTCAATTGGATCCACAAAATCCGTTAATAGAAATTCTGGTGGAATAGTAATTTCAGCATATTCATCGTTTGGTTCCGAGATTTTGCCATCTCCCACATCTAAAATCCATTTAGAGAAACTCTCAATCTCTTGAGCATTGGAAGAATTTAATGCTGAAACCAAACACATGTTTTTTGTAAGTGTTAAAACCTTGCAATATTCTCAAATATATGATTCATTTATTGTAGAATGAACTATATCAGAACGGGTTTCTCTTGGCACAACTGGTAGAATTTATCTAAAGTCACCACCAAACACCACAATCTTTCCTCCAAATATTTGTTCACAAGGATTATCTTTAGTACCCATGATATCTTTCAATGACTTGTCAAGAGATTCGAAATACCACTTGTTTGTCATAGGAGTTTCATCCCAAATAATCAACTTAGTAATTTTTAACAAACCGACAAGGTCATCCTTTTTGTCAATGTCACAAATTGATGTTTCAATGCATGGAACCAGAATTTTGAATCTTGAATGCATTGTTCTTCCACCAGGTAGAAGTAGACTTGCTATACCACTTGACACGACATTTAATACAATATCGCGATTAGAACATAAAGCTGCTGAAAGGGTATTCCACATGAAAGTTTTTCCAGTACCACCAAAACCATATAAAAAAATACTCCTCCTTTATCTTCGGTAACAGCTTGCATAATTTCGTTAAAAATTTATATTTGTTCATCTTTGTAAGACATGGAAAAAATTAGTGTGTTAGTCATGAAAAAACATGAAACTATAATAATAAAATAGGTTATAAATTAATAACAAAAGATGTTATAAATTATACATTTAATATATGTAACTTATAAACACTATACATTGTGAAATCACCACACGTATGTCAATGCTCTGTGTTCAGAGATCAACATATGTGAAGGTCTCAAAGACACTTGTCCAACCTAATGGCCCACCTCTGAAACCCATAACTTTCCTTTTTAAAGGAGTAAATCGATATATCTCACCACATAACTATTGTTTGATAGAAAATATCATCTCTATGAAAACTGTGAAAATGACTTCTCAATATTCAGTTTTGGAAATGAGTGGTGGTCCATCTCAACTTATTTATCTTTCTTCCAGTAGCAGGTAAACACAAACAGTATTGCTGAAAATCTATTTACCGGTTCAAATGAGATTTTTTTTTGCATATGTTATGTTAGACTTGCTTCCGATGTTTGCATGTGTACCATAATACTCTAAAAATCTTAAACACGGTGTTTGCATGTCTTTTGTTTACTGATAGTCAGTACATTTCATGTTTATTCAAAGTGATGGATGAATGGTTAAATAGTTTGAGTGTTATATTGAAAACAACTAAGTTAAGTGTTATGTTAAATAAATTTGTTAAGGTTGATCTGACATGATACTTTATTTTTCTCACATTGATTTTTATAGTCGAAGCAATGACAACTACACAAGCGAATTCAGTGAGGAGAGTCTTTCTTCCAATGACAGTTTCTCATCGGAAGAAAGTTATGGCCCTGATCCTAATACAGCACGGTAAAACATAACAGGAAATATAACAGATATGAACAAATATTGTAAGTAATATAAAAAGGAAATGTTTTTTTGTCTAAAACCTCAGAATAAAATATAATATAAGGACCATAAATGCAAGTTAAGAAATGAATATAGTTATTGAATTTACCTCTTAAGGATTTAAACAAATCTTGGAATTTATCCTTCTCAGTTGAAATATCATATTGTCGTTCATCATATACCAAGCGATTACCAAGAAAATCCATAACATAATCATCTGTATACGACATTGGCTTAAACTCTTTTAAGCTCCTTCTGTTTTTTTGTAATTGCTTCTCAATTTCCATCAAAGTAAGTTGTTGTAATTTTTTCTGCGATAGTGATAATTCTAACTTAAAAGCTATAGTAATAAAATTAAGAAAATATATAGACAACATAAAGATGATGCTATTAGTAAAATTAGATATAGAATAAAGTACCTGAATTCATTGACAAAACTCTTTGTTCATATAGTATTCCGTCAGATAAGTAAATCCAAGTGTTGCGCCAAACATAATCAGGTCGATTCATAGAAGCTGATACCAACATTATAACAAAGAGTTTCCGTAGAAAAACACCAGAACCCTAATTATACGCCTCTTTTATTGCCTCAATGAATTCCTTGGCATCTTGTAGAAACCCCATTGCAAAACATGCCTCTCAAAAACTTTTATGTTTAAAACCTTCAATATTTTTGAGATCATCATAACTTGTTGGTCATTTTTTAACAGTTAACAAACAACATCCTCATATAATACAATTCTCCTGTTGAGGGTGGGATCCGAACTAATCTACCAATTGTGTAACCTCTTTTCCTTGGTTTCCAAGTTCTTGTTTTTTTGACATAAACAAATTTAGAGACAAAAAGTTGAACTGCTTCCTCGAGCATCTACTCCTTCTTCGTTAGGTAGCTTATCAACTGTTGAAGATGATACATCAACAGGGCTCAAATCAATTGACAGATAATGAACCGGGCCATCAAATGGAACCTCATCAGTAAACGGAGAATCGGATGGATTGACATCCAGACCACTGGCAGTGTGAATCCAAGTAGCACTGGAAGTGTAATATCCTGAAAAATGTATCTCTTCCTTTGTGTAGTTTTTGTAACTTGTAAGTACACATTGCAACTAAATTGTTAGGTATAATACAAATAATTTTTTACTCTATCTCAGCAATTCGCCTCTCCAGCAATTGACCCTGGTGCACATAAATAGAAAGATAAGATATAATAATTAGGGAGGAATTCAATAGTTCTTTATTGTGAGCACCTACAAATATATACAAAAGGACAACAAATGAAATGAGTTGGAGAATTTGGAAAAGGCTTAACATTTCGTATAAGTAGGTGCAGCTCAAAATAATTGAATCTAAATCAGAAACTTTGTGTTCATGAAAAATTGTGTTCACATTTAATGTCAGGCACTGGACATGAGATCCTGAGCGCTAATTTTATGAATTTTGACAGCAGGCAGGGTGTTACATATGTACTGCACGTTCTGATCTTGGACGCCGCACTCCCAATACCCCATACTTGATTCGGTAGTATCACTTCCGACATACTATCAGGGAAGGGGATTCGATACAGATTCCTTGGTTGAATTAGGTATTAGACTGTTAGGAATGTTGACAGTTTCATTTGATGATCCTTAGGTGACAACACCAGGGATGTTTCGTCTTCTCCTTGCTCATTCAATGGGAGTGGCTTTCATTATATGCACAAAAGTAGTTGCAAAGAATTAAGCCGACAAAGTTCTAATATGATGATATGAATATGGATTGCAACATTAACTAACTTATTAGATAAGAATAAAAAATTTGGTACCCAATACAACTATAACATGGAAAGGAAAACCCAACAACAGATCTCACAGCAGAGATACTTCTTACAGCTGCTAAATACAAACATAAATTTTAGAAGAAACACTCATATATAAAACAAAAACACATACACAAACATTCATATAACTTCATATCACTTCATTTGGTGGTTGCTTTTCTCCAAAAGAATAGAACCTTCAATCTAAAGGGATCAATCATGAAATAATTTAAGATGCAATGCCAAAAACAACAACAAATAAGAAAGGAACATTACAATGTGCTACTAAGAAAACTACATATTTTTCACAAGTTATGTTGAAATGTAAATGTTACTTTTGAATTTAGAAGATCAAATTCCAGTTTTGATTTGAGGAATTCAAAATCAAACAAACACAATTACACAGCTTCAATATAATGTTAGTTTCATGGTTTTTAATTGCAGCGACACGCACATCTGAGACCGCAACCGCATATTTACAACCATGCTTCGGCTCATTAATATATCAGAATAGAGTTAATGTTACCTTCTGGACAGCATCATGACCGGGAGTCAAAGTTCTGCAAGGGAGTAGAAATAGATATTTCAAAACAACTTTATAGGAAATTTTTAATGGAATAGCTTATTAATCCGATGTAACATAAAATTCTAACCCGCAAATGGCATGCCCCACTTCATGATATGCAACTAAACTTTGTTCCTTCCGTTCCGGCCACAATCCTATCGATAGAATCAAACTTACCTGTAATTAAAATTAAAATCATTGGCAAAAGCACCAGGGTAATTTGCTTTGGAAATTAACTTATTATTCCTTTAAATCATACAATTGTACTACACTCTCATGAATAATTTTTAATGGGGTTACCGTGATTTCAATTGCATGCATAAGGCTTCATTTACATTGTGTTGACAAACTAATTTCATTCATTAAAAACTCAGTGACATTGGCCGTAGGAAACTTGTTTGCAAGATATCTTGAGCTTACTCCAAAAGAACATCCAATGTCTAAAATTTTATCAATCGCGGATGTTTTCAAACGCTGTAGATGGTGTTGTTCAATTGCATTAAGGCAATTTCCACATATGATCTGAGTTGCTTCATCTACTGAAGAAGCAGTAGGAATCAATCGTCTTCCCATTGACTTAGTAACAGCTTCTGTTTCTGCCACAGTCTATCATCATATAACATGAAATTTAATGATATCATATAGCAAAGGTGTATCCAATGTCCAACGCATATCAGCGGCCGACACTAACACAACATAAATCCATTTGATTATGTTCAATTTATATTAATTTCTAAACTATCACCGGTGTCGACCTATCAGTGCTTCATAGACGCTTCATAGAAGATTAAACATTAACAAATTCAATTTAAAATTTATACCAAATAATTGAGATAAAATCTTGCATTTCATCAAATAGAAGAAAATCAAAAAAAGGATTCAAAACAAAGTGCCGCGGGAGACAAGCCATGATATGTAGTAGAAAAGTCCAAAATAAAATCTCTGATTTTGAGTTAGTGTTTGCAAGTATTTGCTTGATGTCCCGAGCTATTGAAAAGAAAACCTCCTCCACATTCAAAAATTTAGGAAGGTTACAACAGAAATATACCTCTATCATGTTACTTGAGAAACATAAAAAATATCTTCCCGGATTGTTCTCAATGCTGTCTTCTTATACACAAGAGCAAGGTCATCTATTAATCTGAAATCAAATCATGTTTTAACTGAAATTAGATCAACCAAGAAAATAGAGAATAAAATGTAACAAAATATGGATGTCCCAATAGCAAGATGTTAGTCTCATAATCAGTTCGGAAACCTCAATTTATTGTTGTCACTTATAATTCTCCAAAACGCGAACGGAAGAAAACGTACATAGTTTTTACTATAAGGAAAAATGGGAGAAATCTATTTGATTACAACTCTGCAGAACTTTGAGGTTCTACAAAGTTTCTACCCATAAACAAAGCAACAACCTCTGCCCCACACTTCAATTATATCCTTTGTCAACTACTATAAATAACATCGATGCACAAATATGTATAAAGAAAAACGAAGCTAAAATTCAAGCAAAAAGAAATGGCAAGACTCTTTAATTTGACAGGCTATGAAGCAACCGAGCCTTTAATTTGACAATGCTCCAAACACTGTATCAATAAAAACCTAATTATTTAGACCTTAGAAAGATAGAAATTGAAACCCTAAACATAATCCATAACATATCATCGCTCCAAATCATCAAATCAACCATAAAAACTCTAACTTTCCTATTCTTGAACCCTTTCTATTACATTAAAACATACCTTGAGTTATCGGAAATGGATTCCCGACAATAGTGGCGATAACGGAAGAAGAAAAAGTAGAAGGAAGAAGAAGAGTGCCAAAGAAGAAGAAATGAAGATGGAGATATTATTGATGAATATGAAGATGAAGAGAAAGAGAAGTAGAAATTGATTTTCGGATTTTAAAGAGATGAAGATGGAAGAAAAAAAGAAAGAGTGAGATTGGGAAAAGATGAAGAAGGAAGAGAAAGATAAAGAGAAAGAGATGATGTAGCATGAGAGATAAGGCATTTCAAGAATCAGAAAACTTGATGATGATCAATCAGAAGATGAGGCTAACAATGAGATTGTCAAGTTTGTAATGGCTCTTTCTGAGTAGAGATGACAATAGGGTGGGTCGGGCGGGTTTAAACACATCCATACTAGCATTCGTACCCAGACCCGTCCCCGATCCTCAAACTCGATCGGGACTAATATTTGTTCATCCATCCCGCCTTCAATAATAAACGGATTTCTCCGCATCCGTCCTACACCCGCTCAAATAAAATATTAATTTTTAAAAAATTATATTTTTTCAATAAAAATAAAAATCAATAATTAAATTAAATAATTAATTATTTCAAAAGTATTTTTATGTTTGATATTTTTATTTAAATTGTATTTTCAAAAAAAAAAATAATTCTAATAAACATGATATTATAATATTAAAATGTGTAAAGGAGTAATAAAATTATTAAAAAATAAATGAAATAAATTAAATTTAGTTGGCGGGTGCGGGTGCAGGGTGGGTACTAGCATCACCCGCCCCCGCACCCGCACCCGTAAATAAAAATCGGGTTTTTCCCGCATCCGCACCCGACCCCGGTTAAACTGGGTTTTCCCCGCTAATTTCAGGGCGGAGGCGGGCGGGATCCTGCGGGGGCGAGTTTACTTGCCATGCCTATTTCTGAGAGATAAGAAGATGAAGCGGAAACTTATGATGAAAGTGTTCTCTGTGAAGACCTTGATGTATCCCATAAGGACACATGTGACAGGTGTGAAGAAAATCTTAAGACAGTAGAAGGTCAGAGAAAGATCATAGCTGAATTGGAGAATGAAAATAATGAACTTATATGTATTGTTTTACATCTTTAAGGTGAGGTATCTCTCTTAAATTTCAAGCTTGATAATCTGTCAGATTCTTTGAAAAAGATGAATAATAAAGTTGATATGGTGAAAGATGATGGAGATATAAAAGTTAATTATCAGTCTGATAATAAATAAATAAGAGTGTATGAAAAGAAGTTTTTTCCTTCTGAAATGAAGAGAATGATCAACATGTCCAACAAACATGTTACAACATCCTGGCAGACATGATGAAACTTTATCCAGATTCCAATCATCCACTTGGATATGTCATTATTTGTTGTGAGCATGGTCATATTAAGCCTTTATGTTATAAATTGTATGGAGATAAAAAATCTTCAGTTCATTCTAAGGTTGTTCAAGTGAGCAAAAAGAGAAGTGTTAAAAATAGAGATATTAACTTTATTACTCATACTTTTTTAAGAGACTCAAATGGAGAAGACTGGTATTTTGACAATGGGTGCTCTATGCACATGACAGGAGTTCAGAAGTTATTGGTGAATATTAAACCTCATTCCACATGTTCTGTAAGATTTGGTGATGGGTTTAAAGGTGAAATCAAAGGAGTTGGAAAGTTGGCGTGTGTTGGTTCTCCTAGTTTGGAACATGTTCTTTATGTGAAAGATTAATTGTTAATCTCATTAGAATTAATCAGTTGTGTGACCAAGGTCTACTAGTCAACTTCTCAAAGTCAGAATGTTTGATCAAAGATAAAAGAGATGTTATCCTAATTAAGGATATTAGATCTAAAGACAACTTTTATCTATGGGAATCTTAGATAATTGCTTATTCTTCCACATGCCTAATAACTCATGAAGAAGAAGTAAATTTGTGGCACCAAAAGCTTGGACACCTTAATATAAAAGGAATGATGGAGATTTTATCTAAAAGAGCTATCAAGGGAATGTCAGAGCTCAAAATTGGAGAAGGTAAAGTCTGTGGTGGTGTGAAATTAGAAAGAAATCCATGACGTTACACTCGATGTTGCAACATCAGACTACTTCCAAAGTATTGGAACTTCTTCACATGAATATAATGGAAACAATGCAGATAGAAAGCTTGGGTGGAAAGAGGTATGTCTATGTGGTTATAGATGATTTTTATGGATATACTTAAATGATTTTTCTTAGAGAAAAATCATATGTTTTTGATGTCTTCAAAATTTTGTGTCAAAGTGTGATACGGTGGCAGAACCGACTGTTAATATTGGTTTGCATTTTTTGTTTACAAATGTCGTGGTAAGCAAGAGTCGCCACCGACTTTTATTTTATCCAACAAAGGAAAGAGTGAAAAGAACAGAAAAAAAACCTTTCGAGAGTTTTCTGAGTAAGGGGGTAGATTATGGAAAGGGAAGGTGTTAGCACCCTTTCCATCCGTAGTTTTCTATGGGCTCTTAGATGCTTAGCTCATGTTTTGAAAATTTCTTGTGCTTTGTGTGTTTTGAAAATTGTTTTGAAAATGCCTTAGTGCGGCGATTCACTTTGTGATAACTCTTGTATCAGTCCTCAAGAGTGTTGACAAGGCAAATGTTTTTGAAAGTATTTTGAAATGTTTTTGTGTAAGTGCAAAAAGTTGTTTTGAGCAAGCATCTAAGAACTTATCTACTTATACTCGAAAAGGTCATTCTTTTCTCTCTATCCTTTAGACAGTGCTATCCTACTATTAGTGAGTAGGTATCCCTATTGTTGGATGTGTGAGGGACTATCGAAAGGGACGTAATGGTCATTGAAGGCAATAGGTAAGGATACCTCAGCATTTTGAAGGGACTATCACCGTAAGATCATTTCTCGTAGGCAACTCGAGGGACATTTAGGGACTATGATCTTTATGATGACTTTAAACTGAGGGTCTTTGCTAAGAGTATCCCTATGTTCGAGGGACATGACCATTGTTTTTCCGAATGCAACAAGTGAGGTTACCCTAGAGGTACGAGTGTGCAAATGATTCAGTTCAGTTGTTTATCTTGAAATTAGGGTTTTCTATCGTTCATTTTTATCTTTCCATACAATCCTATTAATCTAAGCATTGCATAAAATATAGTAGCTAAAGGTAAAGGCGGAAATGTAAACCTAGGCTATTACAGAGTTTTAGGATAGTTACATAATAGTGAAGAGTGCGAAAAAGAAATCCTAAAACTATTACATCCCGGAAGCAATTACATGATAATGATAAAAAAAAGCGGGAAAAATAAAACTATGCTATTCCAATTGAACGCGCCATATACACTTTATCCAGGAAAATAAAAATAAGATGAAAATAGCAAAGAAAATGTTTTGGTGATTTTTTTATGAAAAAATGATTTATGATAATTAATTAAATAAACCTAAAAAACCTAATTAATTTTAATTAATAAAAATATTAATTTTGAAAAAAGCTAATTAAAATACCTAAAACCTAATTAGTTTTAATTAATAATAAAAAAAGGTTAATTTTGAAAAAAAAAATTAATAAAAAAAAACTTAAAACCTAATTAATTTTAATTAAAAAAGGTTAATTTTGAAAAAAAAAAGGTTAATAAAAAAAACCTAAAACTTAATTAATTTTAATTAAAAAAAGGTTAATTTTGAAATAAAAGGTTAATAAAAAAACCTAAAACCTAATTAATTTTAATTAAAAAAAAGGTTTTAAAAAAAAGTTTAGGTGTAATGATTAACAAGAAAGAATTAAGTTTGCCAAAAAATAGATAGGGGAAGAAACATCAATGAAAAATAAGGTTATAAAATACAAATAATGTAAATGTCAGGGGTGGGTGTTGAACCAAAAATTAATTTAAAACCTAAAATTAAATTTAAAAAATCTAAAATTAATTATTCGAGTTTATTATGAAAAATCAAAGGTTTGTGAAAATGTTAGGTTTTATGAAAAAGGTTTTAAACAGAAAGAATAAAAATAGGTAAAAGGATAAATAGAAAGAAAGAAAACCAAAATCAATAGGGGTGGATGTTGAACTCACGCCCTTAACATTCTCAGGATGTCTGCCTCACCATGCATTGGTGGTTGTTCTGTTTTGGCCTCAGCGTTTTGTAATAACCCTACATGGGACCATTACGATGGTTCAAACCTGTAATATTGAATCTCATGAACACATTAAGAAAATTAGTATGCCATGAAATACAAAGAAAAATATATATGAAATTTTATAATATTAAAACCGATATGACACGTATGAATGCTTTTACACCCTTTTGATCATGGAGATCAAACCAGCCTTACCCTTACTGGAGAAGTAGTGAGATGGGGGTTTGTAACAAGGATGACTTGTTTGTAGTAAGATGAAAGTTTGTAACAAGGATGACTTGTTTGTAGTGATATGGGGGTTTGTAACAAGGGTTTCAAGATTTTTAGGATTCTTGAAAGAATTTAATATTTTGACAGAGTTGTGGCAAAGGTTTTTTCTCTCTCGTGTTTGTGTGAAAAGAATGAGATTGTATAATGGAAATTAGAGCAATGATATGGACTTTGAATGTGCAATTGGGCCTCCAATAACCACAAGCAATAGTGCAGATTTTTATTCACCTTAATATGTCACATTCCAGGCTAAATCGCAGGGGCTTAAGTGCAATTTTTGAAGTTGAAATGTGAAAAAAAAAATATAGCCGACATCAAGAACTAACTTCTGTCCGAAAATGGGCTCAATCAGATAAACGGTGAATTAGTTATGAATTTTTGAAGTTTCGCTTCAGACAAACTTATTTTGGGTTCCAGTGTCAACTCTGACACGTTCTTCAATAAAAAACTGGCATTGATCGAAGCATAACCTGGTCTCGACTTTGAAAGAAACGTTGTAAATCTGAGTCATTGACCTTGTGTAAAAAGATGGGCCCGATCCGATAAAAATTGACCGAGTTGTGAATTTTCGAAGTTTCGACTCAGATGAAATAATATTCAGCATTCAGGATTTTCGGCGCGTCACATGCGCTCTAGGCAAATAAAAAAGGCCTTTTGGATACCTGTTGTACCCCAAAATTTGCCCTCCCTTTTTCACAAAAAAATCACAACTTCAGGGTTTTCCCTGATCTTTCAAGATTGGCCCAAGAATCGGTCAAACAGACTTTTCTCTGACAGTAAACCCAGAATTAAGGTCTTCCACTTTTTGTTGGGATTGGCTCAAGAATTGATCAAACAGACTTTTCTTTGTCAGTCAATCCAGAATCAGGGTCTCCATTGATTTTATTGAAATTGGCCCAAGAATCGGTCAAACAGACTTTTCTTTGTCAGTCAATCCAGAATTAGGGTTTCCATTGATTTTATTGAAATTGGCTCAAGAATTGATCAAGCAGACTTTTCTTTGACGACAAGTCTGGAATTAGGGTTTTTCGCACGCATTTCTCAGAAGAAATTGAATCCACAGTATTTCAATTGACTGTTACATTGTTTTTACGCTTGTTCAAGATTGC